ATACATACACATACATACACATACATACACATACATACACATACATACACATACATACACATACATACACATACATACATACATACATACATACACACATACACACATACACACATACACACATACACACATACACACATACATATGATACATACATATGTAACATCTATGATTTGTCCTCTTGAGCTGTGACTTGGGCTTTGTGTACTCCTATCCTGCGGGCAGGACTTGACAATGCTGGCAAGACAACCCTTCTCCACACGTTGAAGGACCATTGGCCGCGTCTAATGGAGAGATGTCACCTTGTCCCTCCAGCGTTGCTTGCTTGGTAGTTGTCCCAAGTTATATAGAACTGGCTTTCCCCAATATTTCCGTGTGTCCGAAAATGATTGGGCAATTCGTATACCCCCAATTTGCCATCTGAAAATGGACACCTATGGACCTATGATCTGGATTTACCGGCCCTGCCAGGATGACAGGATCGCCACCCACGTTCCTACGCTTCATCCCCACTCGGAGGTGCGTTCCACAGTGCAATGCAGCTGCGGATCAGGCTCAGATGATCGTTGATCTGAGTTGAGTTTGGACAAATTGTATGTACCCTCCAGTAAATTAACAAAATTAACATAGACCCTGGCAGATATGGGTTGGAAGATTACTTTCCATAAAAAATGGTGATTCTCAGGGTCTATGTTAATTTACCAGAGTGTAGATGTTGAATTATATTAATTTGATATCGGTGTGACATAGCAGATCTGGTGCCACAATTCGAATGGGTCCAACTTGGGGTTACTTTGGGGAAAGGTGGCAGCGCAGCTGTTGGTCACTCGATGGAACAGTCCAGCCTTTTCGTAGTGGGCTGGGCAAACTTTTCCTGATCACATGATAACATGAACTATCCATGATAGCTTTTCCATGTGTGGAAAACCACCATTTTGTGATCCATCTTTGGGGCCTTTAAAGAATACCCTCTGGTAAACATTTACATAACTATGGAAAATCACCATTTTTACTGGGGAAACTCACTATTAGCCATTTTCAATAGCTCTTCTGACATAACCAGAGGGTAAATCCCCCAAAAAATCCCATTAAACATATTAAACCACCATTTTCCTATGGTTTTCCTATGGTTTTCCTATGGTT